CTGGATTTGAGATCCTCCCTACCCTAAGAAATGTTTCAATCACAGGTGACTGGTAAGGGGGGCCTGGGTGGGGGAGAGGGGAGGGCACATGCCTCCCCTGAGATTGAACTCCGACTTGGCATTGCTCAGGATGGGGCAGTTTTTTTGCTGTGCGGGCCAGCAGTGTGTTGCAGGGGTGGGGGCACTAATCCATGACACATAAGTATAGGAGTGGATATGGGGCTTTTGGCTTACCCCAGGCCTGCCCACAAAATGTGCCCCCCAAGACTCAGGAGGCACCCCTGATTTCAACCCACATCTGCCACCTCCCAGGACATGCCAGGTTTGTGGCTATGATGCTGGATGGGAGAGCACTATCATAGCTGCAGAAGCTGAGCCAGCGTGGAAAAAAGAATGTGAGGTTCTTGGGGCCAGAAACAGAGAGCAAGAGAGGAGCATGGCTCCAAAACCTGGTAATGAGGGCACTCAGTTGGGATGGTGGAGTTGTGGGCTCCAGTCTCCTTTCCCAAGATTGTTTCTGTTCTTTTATTTTGTTTTTATCCATTAGATTTGTATCTGCCCTATCCAAAAGGCTCAGAGTGGCTTACAATAAACAAACAACCCAGAGATAGGAGTCGATAAACAAGATCCTGAAATCTGAGAACTCCAACTCTCTCCCTCACTTCCCACAACCACTGCCTTCCTGCTCAAACTCCCCTACAAGCAAACCCTTCCCATCACTCTAGCAATGCCTCCCAGCTGCCACTCGCATCTGAATGCATGCAACCTTTTTCTGTTTTTCCCCCAACTCCCACCCCACTACCACACTTCAACCCCACGGAAGATGCCCTCACCTTCCACCAATGTCCCCTCCCAGCCCATACCCCCTGTCCTACAGAGCAGCTCTGGCTGTCACCCCCTCCTCAAAAAGCACACCTAACTCCTTCAGATACAATACTACATTTCAAAAGAATCCTAACAAAAAAATAAAACAAAAAGAAAGACCCTTGGTCCTCACCTCGGTCATCACCAAAGGACACACTTAAGCATTTTTAATCAAATGACGGGTTAATGTAAAATGCATAAAAAGCCCTGGGAGCAGATACCAGAACCCAGGGCTGTGGTTCGGGATTCTCTCAGACTGAAGACAGCTCAGAACCCTGGTCTCTTACTGCCTGAATGACAATTCTAACCACTAGCCTCTTGTGTAAAAGACGGGTGGTGGGACAACCATGACCAGCTCCTACTCCTTATCTATGTTTTAAAAAGAAAGTAACTACAACTGCATTTTTGGGGAGGGCCTGATTTTGCTGGTATGCGTTAGGCATGTGTAACAGGGTGGGGTACCTGGGGGGTGGCCGTGTTACCCCCAGGTGCTTAACCATGCCAGTCTTGCCCTACGAGCACCCTTGTACTCTCCCGCCACATCTTAATGGTATGATGAATATAGGGAGGCTGCCCTTGAGCTTTAGTTTTGGACATGGTCAGGCTAGATCCTATTAACCTTGTTGTTTCTAAACCCCCTGATGTCCCACTTCACTGTGGATGGTTCCTGAGTCTCTCAACCTTATGGGCCATATGCATAGCTCCAACCATCCCTTTACCATGCCCCAAGTCTTGCAGATGATACAGACGTTGTCTTGCCTAGGCCTCTTATTAATTCAGCTCCTTGTCCTCGTCGGGCTCTCTGCAGCCCTGTCTCAAGTGCTGCGCCCTCTCTGGCACTGGGGTCTGTGCCCCCCAAATACTGCACCTTCTCTGGTGCTGGGGTCCCCACTCTGTAGTGAGCCACTATGAGGCCTCCTCCTTCCCCAACCAGCCTCACCCAAACCACTGGTTGTTATCAGACAGCACACACTTAACCACCAACCACCATGAGTCCCTGGGCTGTAACTTAACACAGAACTTACATCATGCTCTGCTCCTTTAAAAAAGTAAAACTCCCCCTCTGAGGCTCGGTGCCTAGTAGGCAATGATACCTTATGTGCTTCTGGTGTCCCCTTTGTTCTATGAGGAGCATATCTGCTGGCTACCACATCTCTGGGCCCTTCCTTCACCTGGAGGCTCCTGCTGGTAAGGGACTAACTCCCTGGTTCCAGCCCTGGGGTTTATATGGGCCAAAGGCCCTGCCTTCTCCGACCAGCTGACCAGGTGCAGGTGCGGCCAATTCCTTCATTAACCAGTTGTCATGGCAACCTGCACCTGGGTTCTTATCTCTGCTCTAAGAGGAGCAGGCACCTTAGTGCCCTGTACACACCTTCCCACTTAAGATCCGGACTCACCAGGATGGGTCTTCACTCTTGTCCATCTCATGTCCTTTGTCTTGGTCCTCTTAAGTTCTTGTTCTTGCTCACCGACAGTGCAGATACATAGAGGCAGAGCTTTTCAGGTGCCTCCTGCTTGCCTTTCCCCCCAGGCGCACCATGTGGGATTTCATGAGAGTTGCCCTGCCACAGGCAGTCCCCCCACATCAGCCAACCTTGGTAGGCAGAACTCTCGGTTGAGCTCCTTGCCTTCTTGGGTCTACCCTCTCCTCCTATGCTACTATCCAGGGGGTGGGGGGACTTTCCCCCGCTCCTGTATCTGCTGTCTGTCAAAAGGGAGCCCTGTTGTGATCTGGCCCAAATCTTCTCACTCCTCCGTAGGGCAGATTGTGGGGTTTCTTGCTTCCCTATGGCTCTCTGGAGATCCCGAAGCCTTCCCCAGATCTCCCACTGTCTCCCCAATGCCTTCTGGGCATCTTCTTCCTTCCAGAACTCTATCTTCCCCTGGCCGGTGGATCTTTCTTCAGGTCCCTTATAAACCTTTACATAAGCTACGCCCCCAACTTTTGCTTCAAGTGATTTTTCTCAGCATCTACCACCTGACCTACCCATGCTCTCTGCCTAAGTTGTAACTACCCTGGCCTTACCTTTCTGAGTCAGGGCCTGACTGAGAAAAAACAAAAATAAAAACATTTAAAGGTAAGAATAGCAGAGAACAAATTCTCTGTTCACAAGGGAAGTAGTTTTCTTTGTATTTGTTTTAGGTTTATGAGTCTCTTATGAAGAGACAAGGATACCATAAGACAGGGGTGGTCCCTGCAGGCTGGAAGAGGGGTGTGGGCCCAGCCCTTTGGGCTGGTCTAGGCTCACCCTGGACTGGCCATGTGGGCTGCTTGCAGTATGTGCTCTGGATCCAGCCCCACCTGCCACATGCATCACACATGGCCAGTCTGGTATGGGTGGAACATGTAGCACCTGCCACAGACTAGCCCCATGTCATATGCAGTCTGTACTAGGTGGCTCTGTGCATCACATGGGGCCACAGCCAGGGCTAGCATATCCTGCATGCAACAGTCAGCATTGTGGCCTGGATGATACAGCTTCATAGGCTGTATCTTTGGCACCTCTACCATAAAACATCTGAGAGAAAAACATTGCAACACTGCAACATTTTCCCCTCTGTTATGGTAAAAAGGCCAAAATAATTTTTATTACATTTTACACACACAATTGGATGTGCAGAAGAGCCATATAAGCTGAGCCTCATGGAATGTATTCTTACAGCTGAGTCATAAACTAGGATGTATAATGAAAATGTTGACACATCTGTAACTGTACAGCGACACTAGTAGAAGCTTCTATAACAACAATTAAAATGCTTACAAACTGCAGCAAACTGTGGGAACAAGATGTACAGTTACTAACTTTGTTAATTGACCAAATGTACCTACATAATGATATTAATAAACATGTTACCCAAAAGCAAGTCCCAGTAATGTTAAGGAGTATGATTGACATTCAAATACAAAAAAAGCTTTCCCCATTCCATCTGTTTACCGTTACAAGGATTGATAGGCAAGTAAAATCAAATCTGACTGACTGGTAAAAGGCTGCATAAAGATTTGTAATATTCAGAAAATAGTTTGTCATTGGTATTTTAAAGCAAAATTGACAGGATATGACATCCTATTTACTTTCAAGAAAGAGCAATTATATTGTAAACATAAAAAGTGGCTGATTATAACATTACATGAGATTTTGAAGCTAGCAGCTTCAATTACTATAGCCAGATTCTGGCCAAGAATAATATGCCTTATGGGTGCTTCATCTGATGTTTTCGCTTAGAGAAGAAAAGTAATTAAAAAATAGGCAAGGACATCATCACCAAAGTGAAGAGAAATAGAAACATGGTACTAGTGGGTTTGTTTGTACTGTGAAAATATACATATAAATAAGAAAGAAAACCTATATTTAAAAAAAAATAGCCTGAGTTTGTAATTTAACTCTTTAACAGCTAATGTCCTCTTGGATTGAGGGACAATTCCAAACATGTAATCAAAAAGGCTATAATTTATGTTTTTGTGTGCCAATATACATTTGATCAATGTCCCATTTAAATAAATTTTCAATCTGGTCTCCAAAATTTTTCATGTGCTTTTATGTGCCCATATAAACCCATTTTAGCAATCATTATGAATGGGCATTTTAGAGTTGCAAATCACATACTCAAACCTCTGTTACTTTATTTGTGCACAAAACTGCCTTTTTTCATACTCTGATGGTTGGACAAGCAAACTTGCATATGCAACTTGAAGCTATACTTCAAACCATGGCCCTACTTTTTATAAAAGACCTCTTTGTAAGACTGGTAACTTATTCAAAATGTCTTCACAAGCATGTGTAGTGCTTTTCACCACTGGGGAGAAACATACAAATCAAAACCCTGTTTATTTATTAGAACTGAGATGCTATTCATATTTCCAAAACATTAAAAATGAAGATATTATTTCACTTTTATTATTTTGTTCTATCAATTTAAGCAAATAATCAGGAGTGTACTTTTCCCTTACATGTACTGAGTCAAGCAGAAGCAGTGAATCAAAGTGAGACATGGAAAACAGAATTAAATACTACATGCTTTATTTATAATTCTGTCTGCAGATGGATTATAGCTCTGATCATTTTTGTCATTGGCTTGGTTTAAGAAGTTTATTCTGGTATATGTTATTCTTTTTTTTTTCACTTTTCATTCAATAGGATGAGGCAAAGGCTCTAGCAAACCGTTTAATTAGTTCATGTGAAAAAGCATCATCAGCTCCCAGAACCATAACCTCCTTCCACTATATAGGCGGGCGAATTGCCAGTGCAATGTGCCATTTCTTTTTACCACCCATTGGCCCCAATATCCCTCTGCCAAACAAACCTCTACAGAAGCAACCTTCACCACAACATCAAGACTCAAAGCAGACCCGTATGGAAAAAAAACCTGCACGTCCTTCTTTAAGGTAATAGTCTTTTCTGTCGTGGCACATGCATATGTTCCATTTTTCCTCCATTTATAAAAAGGAGGCTGAGATCCCAAGTTAATATTATTTATAATTTACAACAATACTCGCCCCTTGAATCTGGCATCTGAAAGTGTTCAGCAAAATAGTTAATCTTTCTGGATCAGATCTAATGTTTATGATGAAACACTTTTATGCTTTGCATTTAGACAGTCTTGTCTGCATGTCATCTCAGTCTGATGCTTTATCAAGTCTAAAGCAAGTGCTTAAATAAGGAAAACATCTTGCCCAAGATTAAGGGCTTTCTGAATTTGTTTTGAGTAGGGTGCTTTAGCAGTGCTGTTTTCAAGAAGGTAACCGGTAATCAAAGTAAAATGAGATCACTCAATATTGTACACTGGGTTTAAATTAAGTCTTTATTGCCGAATTTTGCAGTCGTGCCACATACAAAAGTAACTTCAGGGAACTCAGTTTTATTCGTGCACATGCATTTTATTCCAGAAGGGCTGATAAGAAGATTTAAATTTCAACTACACATTACAAAGACATCATACTCAGGCAAAATACTGACCATTTACCTAATCCTGGAACTAGTCATTACTTGTTATGCTACTTTATGTTCCACTGAGTCCTTTGATGCTCTTTTTGTACAAAAGGTCTGCAGAATGGCCCCCAAGAATGTCAGTTAAATCTTTAATACTCCACAGTTTTGTTTTCTTTCTTCTCTGTGGTGTAGTTCTTAATTCTTCAGCTGTCCCTATAATTCTCAGTGTAAATGGACAGTGGTAGATAAGTCTTGTGGAACTGATAGAAATTAACAGAACTGTTTACACAAATGTATGCACAAATGGATATGCCTACATACAAAAATTGTGTACAAATGTTCAGAGGTAAGTAGGAAATTATCATTGTTCATTGTATTATTTTCTTTGAAAGGGGAAGAAAAATCACATGTAACACTCATTCTGACTTTTGAATAAAAATGAAATGTTGACTAGATATTCAAACCAATTTTGCCTGCCATACTTGATTTTGCTATATATCTTTCAGTTGCTGTAGTACACTAACTTAGTTAATATTAGTAAAATCTCCTGAAGATGAAAGGCATTGTATAATTGTTGCTGTTGTGTATTTAAGAAGTTGCTTTCACTTTGTAGTGCCCCATTATCCTTAAAATACAAAGCACATCCACAAGGTGCTCCTGCTGTGTATTTTCTATGGCATTTTTTTATGGTCAATATAAAACATCATTTCCTGATTTGGAGCAATCATCTAAACAACTTAAACTCTAATGGTAAAGTTCATACTATAATATGACCAGAGGACTTCATTATTTATTTATTTTCCCTCAGCTACAGACAATTGTGACAATGTATACTTCTCTTCAGGGATGGGCAGTTCTTACAAACCAATGAATAGTAATAGGGGAAAATATCCACATATGAGACAGCTATATATAAACATATTACAGCTTCTGGAAAAAGATAAGGCGTTACTTTTCCATGTGTCTCAAAGGAAAAATATGTCACATCTGAACTGAACTATGAATACAGTCTGTTGCATAAACAGGGAGAACTCTAACCCAGAAACTTTGCATGCTTGGGTTTTACATTGTGCTTTAAGATCCAAAAACGTTCTTTATAACCATTGAAGTAACCACTGTTCTGAAAGCAGTAGGATTAGAGAGCAGTTGAGCAGAAAAGTTTTTGGAAATGGATTTCTTGACCATTACGGTCTAGGTTGGTGGTATTTAAAATCTAAAACCGTGACACTCAACATACATAAATGTAATGAGGCCTCCACTGGCCTTTGCCATTAAGTAGGGGTGTGTGAAGCGGGTGCTATTCAATTCAGATTTGGCCTGAATCAGGGACTGTGATTCGATTTGTTGATTGAGACCACTGTCCCCAATTTGTTTCAGCCAAATCTGAATCTGAAGATTCAATGCTGATTTGGAGACACAGCTTTAAATGTTTTTCCTACATACTTTGAGGTACCAGCATGGCTTGTGAATGCGATGCTGGGGTACATGGAGTACTTCCAGTCCACTTCCAGGTCCACTGGGGAGCACCTGGGGGCCCCCCCCTACATCCCACTGGTTTGGCAATCGGCTGCAGGGGGACCCTGGGTGCCCCACAGGCCCAGGAGGTAGCAGTTGCTAGCCAGGAGCGTGCGGTGGGGCGTAGGGGGCCCCCTGTGTGCTCCCTGGTGGACCCAGAAGTGGACTGGAAGTGCCTCTGGTCCACTTCCAAGTCTGCTGCTGAGCACCCTGCACTCCTGTAGGACACTCCATGCGCCCCAGCACCTCAATGTTCATGGGCCGCTTGCTACCTAGCGGTATTTAGAAAAAACATTTAAAGTTGTGTCTATGTCCGAATGGCCGAATCTTTCTGAATCTCTCCAAATCGATTTGGAGGGTTCTGATTTGATTTGAAGAGATTAAAGGGTCCTCTGATTTGATTCAGAGATTCAGCCACCGAATTGGGACAAATCTCCACCAAGTCAAATCAGGGACCAAAGCTTCGCACAGCTCTATCATTAAATCCCTTCCTATTCCTCAGTAGCCTATTCAGTTTGGCACTCACACCCAGGACTTTTTTCTCTTCAAGCAACTGTGTCTCAGCTGCTGTAAGTTGTGCTTGGCTGTAACAGTATCTAAAGATGACTGGAGCATATGAAAACTCTGCCATGCCCTTCTTCATCAGAAGCGCTCTGATATGTCACCTCACCTGGCACTGAGTCAGCTCTCCGTGATTAGTGTCATGTCCTCTCTTAATAGCCTCTTCTGCAAGTTGAACACAACTAAGTTTCATTTTGTTATTTGCCTCTGGACCCTAACCTCTCTATGTCCTTTTTATAGTGTGGAGGCCCAAACTTCCCATAGTACTCTAGGGGCATTTATAGACATGCTCCAGGAACGGGGGGAAAGGGGTGCACTTTAATTAGAGATGCTCTTAGGGAGTCACTCTAATTAAAGCACCTGGAGCATCATGTGTATCAGTATCTCCCCCTTTCCCCCAGATCATCATGTGTATCAACGTTGTCAAACAAGCTTTAGTTAAAGTACCCCTGCTGCCATTTTTCAGGGTGGAAATGCTGATCCCTGTGATGCTGGAGTCTGTTGGAGGGTGGTAATTACCACGCTCCAACACATTGTAATTAATTACAGCATGTCAGGGCAGCTTCTTTGCCCATGTCTAGGTGCCGTAGATGAGCAAGTGCTTAGTAAGGAGGCATTATCAATTCCCGTGTCTTACACCTAATGCTTCCATTGATGCAGCCTAAAATTGAATTGGCTTTTGTGCAGCCACATCACACTGCAGACTCGCATAGGGTTTGTGATCCACCAAGGCTTCTAGATCCTTCTCTGTAGTGCTGTCATTCAGTCAGTTGTCACCCATTTTGTATTTGTGTTTTTAATTATTCTTCTCAGGGTGTAGCACTTTGCATTTCTCAACACCAAACTTCCTTTTGTTAGCTCCTTCCCAGCCTCCCACCTATCAACATCTTCTGAATTACATTCCTTTTCTCCACCGTGTTTACAATCCCTCCTGTGTTGCGTCACCTGCAAATTTGCTCAAGAAGTTCTCTCTCCCAGCATCCAAATCATTAATAAACATGTTGAACAGCACTTGGCCCAGGACAGGCCCCTGTGGGACTCCACTCAAAACCTCCTGCCATTCTGATAAAATTACTTTTTGCTTGTTGCTATTGAGCCAGTTGTCTATCTTGCTTGTAGTAGCTTTGCTTAGCCCAGATTTCTCCAATTTGTTTATGAGTAGGTCAAGTGGGACTTTGTCAAAAGTCTTGCTGAAGTCCAGATACAATATATCTACTGCACTTCATCCACCCAAGTAGTTACTTTGTCAAAGGAGTTCAAGTTAGTGTGACGCTATTTGTTCCTGGTAAATCCATCCTGGCTGCCTTTCCTTTTCCAGATACTGGCAAAAGGACTTTATTATGCTCCAGTAGCTTCCTGGGTTTTGAGGTGAGGTTAAACAGTCTGTAGTTCCCCTGGTCCTATTTGTTGCCTTTTTTAAAGAGGGCACAATGTTGGTCCTTATCTAGTCCCTTGTATCTTGCCTGTTTCCTACAACTTCATAAATATTATTGCCAAGGGCTCCAAGATTTCTTCTGCCAGTTCCTTCAGTACCTTTGAGGTGAAGTTAAGGCTTGATCAGGCCCTGCTTGAATTCATCCAGTCCAATCAAAAATTCTCTGACTGTTTCTTGTGTTATCACTCAATTTGTCCTCTACCTTGTCCAGATAATCCTTATAAGCTGTCTGCAGCTACATTTTTTTGTGGAGATTAAGACAAAGTAGCTGTTGAGCAGCTCTGCCTTCTTTGCATCTTCTTTTAGGAGTTCACCCTATCTATTTAACAGTGGACCCACAGTTCCCTTGGTTTTATTTTCTGGCCAACATACTTATAGAACCTCTTTTTGTTGTCATTACCTTTTCTCACCAGCTGAAGCTCATTTTGTACCTTTGCCTTCCTGATTCTGTCCTTTAAAGTTCTTGCTATTTTCTAGCATGCTGCTTTGGTGATCTGCCTATCTTTCCATTGTGTATATTTTTTCTTTTCACATGAGGCATCCTAGAAGCATATTGTACAGCCGCATTGTTGGGCTTCCAGTACCATGCCTTTAGTAGTTCCTGAACATCCTGGGCACCTTTATCCTTCAGTCTATCTTCTCATGCCACCATACCAACTATCTCCTAGAGTTGGTTGAAATTGTTCTCTTTGAAAGTGTCTTAGTTCTGCTGACCTCATGCTTTCCCCATTTCAGGACCATAAATTCTGTGATCACTTCCTCCCAAGTTTACCGTTACCTTCACCTTCTTCACCAGTTCTTCCCAGCTGCCCAGTACAAGATAGATGATCTGAGTTGTACCCTCAACTTGCTGGCCACATTTTTTTGCGTATGCTGTGAACTATTACATTAGAAGACCAGAGAATCAGGCTACATGGTTATTGGTACTTTACAGAGGGCCATACCTTCTATGGTGCATGGCATGGGCTGTTGAATAGATTTCATAGACATTAGGGCTGGAAGGGACCTTGGAGGATCATTGAGTCCAGCCCTTTGCCCCAGGGGCAGGAAGTCAGCTAGAGTCAAAGGATCCCAGCAAGATAGACATCCAAATGTTTCTTAAAAGAGTCCAGAGTAGGTGCCTGCAGCACCCCTGGAGGGAGTCTATTCCAGGCCTTGGGGGCTCAGACAGTAAGAAGTTTTTCCTTACGTCCAACCTGAAATGGTCTTGGAGGAGTTTGTGACCATTTAGTTAAGAAAACAATGTAGGAGAATATCCTGTACATCCTGTAATAGTGCTGGAGTGTTGTGGTAGCCATTATGGTCTTGAAAATATATGACAAGAAAGGGTTTTTAGATTACACTTTTTATTGGACCAAAACTGTATAGTGGGGAGAGATGTTAATCAAGGTTTTGGGCACAAAGTTCCCTTCTTCTCTGAAACTTACATAACACCTTTCCCAACTGTACAGTTGATCCAATAAAAATACTAAACCCCTTCCCACTGGTCACACATCAGAATATTTCTCTAGACTTTGCTAAAATGGCTTGTAGCCTGCTGTGGGTCTGTGGATTTCATCTGAAGCTAGTTTCGTTGTTGTTGTTTTTTTGATGTGGGGGGGAGTGAGAGTGTGAATACTGAGAAAGTTTGTTTTGTTGTATCTTCTTATTTAAATATTTTATTTTGTTTCTTTTTTTTTGTGTGGCTTTAACTGTAAGCTACCCTAAGACTTTTTTTTTGGCGGGGGGGGGGTGAGCTATAAGTCTAAATAAATATATATTATCCCAGAGAGCTCAGTGTTGTGGTTCCTTCATGACAGACTTCTCAGAGAGATCCATTCCTTGGTAATCTCAAGGCTAGATTTCTGCTATGCACTGTACTTACAGCAACCCTTCAAGAGGAGTCAGAGACTTTCACTAAGGCTCTCGGATGCAACAGACATTTATAAGTCTGTAATATCAGTCTTCCACGAGTCTATTCACTTTCAGATGCAGGCAAAGGTATTGCTTATGCTTGATAAAACACCCACGATAGTCTGTGATCCATATAGCTAAGAGATCATCTCACTCCCAACTTCCTGCCCTGGCAGGTCACTCTGGTTGCAGGTTCTTAGTGGGAAACC